CATGATCTCACGGTTCATGAGTTCGAGCCCCGCATCGGGCCCTGTGCTGACATCTCAGAGCCTGGAGCCTACTTCCAATTCTGTGTCTGTCCCTCTCCCCCTCATGCTCTGTCTCTCTTTCTCTCAAAAATAAATAAACGTAAAAAAAAATAAACGTTAAAAAAAAACAAAAAACAACTGGGTCTTCACTCCTCCGACTGGGTGTTAGATGTACATGAACAACGTAAGAGCCATTTCTGGTATTATCGCCTCAGGAGAGAGGGGCCAGGGAGAGTTGGCAGTCTGGGGTGCGGGAGGGAGAACATAATATGACCCAGCCCCGCTTTGGGGGGTGAGGCTGCCATGGGGGAGATCCTGCTTGCTCAGGTGGGGCTCTGGGGCCCTACGGGCCCCTGGCAAACACCCCTCAAAACAAGTCCAGCTACGGACACGGTATGAGAATAGCCAGATGTTGATCCAAGGGAGTAATGAGCATCCCGTCAATCCGCCGCCGCTTTCCCCCAAGACCCCAGAGGTCAGAGCAGAGGTGACGGTACCACTGTCAACATTTCCACACTGTTCACCACGCTGCCTTTTGGGGAAAACCCGTGCTGGCGAGAACCTGTGTGCAGGAGGCTGAATTCCACTGTGGACAGAAGGGGAGGCTGGAAACCCCAGAAACAGACCGGCAGCTGACAGAGTAAGCCCGAAAACCCTTCTGTGAAGAACGATGACTAGACCCTCTCTGGCTTCAAGACTGGACCTTAAGGCGGCCTCTTCCTTCCATGCTTCTGTCCCCGTGATCCTGATCTCCACTCAGGGGCACCTCTCTGGACACTCGGTCGCCGCAGACCCGCTGCGGCTCTCCCAGGACTGGTGCCCCCACCCGTCCGTGTGCTGAAGTCACGGTTCCTCCATCACCTAGACACCCTCTTTTTTCCCTCTGGAACCGTCAAGGCATCAAGTCCTGAGAACTCGGGCTCTAAGAGGTCTTGCCAGTCTATCGTTTTTTCTCCGCTCTCCCTGATTTTGGCCCCATCAGACTAGGGTTACCTTTTGGAAAAAGCCAACTCTCTCAGGTAAAATGACATGACGCTAGGGTTTGCTTTAAAAACTCCAACTAAATATATGCACAATGGAATACTACTCAGCGATCAAAAATGAAACCCTGCCATTTGCAACAACAAGTTCCATCCAGGAACTACAGGGTATTATGTTACATGAAATAAGTCAGCCAGAGAAAGGTAAATATCACAGGATTTCACTCATATGTGGAATCTAAGAAACACAACAGTTGAACATAGGGGAAGGGAAGGAAAAATAAAATAAAAACAGAAAGAGGGGCAAACCATAAGAGACTCTTAACTACGGAGAACAAACTGGGGGTTGTTGGAGGGCTGGGGGGTGTTGAGGGGATGGGTTAAATGGCTGATGGGCATTAAGGAGGGCACTTCCTAGGATGAGCACTGGGTGTCATTGTAAAAATGAATCAGTGGGTTCTACTCCTGAAACCAAGGCTACACTGTATGTTAACTAACTTGAATTCAAATAAAAAAATAAAATACTGCAACCAAAGTAAAAGAAAGTATGAACTGATAGATGACATAAGATGAGCAAACTGATGATGGCTGTTGAAGCTGGGTGATGGGACATAATCATCCACTGAGGCTATTTTCTCTACTTACATATATGGTTGAAAATGTCCACAATAAAACATTTGAAAAAATCCAAATCTACATCACTTTGCTGATAAAACTGCTTCAGCATCTTCCCCGCCAGCGGCAGATACGTCCCAGCTTCCTCAGGACGCGTGACACACACCAAGCTTCTTAGGTTGAGGCAGATGCTCAGCCACTCCCCAGGGCACCCAGGCCTGGCTGGTCTATAGTCCTGGACGTTTCCTATGCACCATGCTCTTTTACATCTCTGTACTTCCACACAGCATAATTGTCTGTCCTATCATCCATTCATCCATCCATCCACCCATCTATCCATTCATCAATCCATTGATACATTCATCCATCCAT